ACCACTGCATTCGCAATTTCTTGAAATCAAATCACAAAATCAGACTGACAGAAGTGACATCAGATATTTGATTACTTCAAATGAATGATAAAGATGCCTACAACGCGGTGTCCCTACTGTTAAAAACTTAAAATTTCACGTCGATAATTTTCAGATTTCAAAATAATGTAATATCTTCTCAATATCGATTCGTCCTTTCTTCTGTCACAGAAAAAAATAGTGTATTATACACGGGAAAAATATTAGATTTTAGCTCACGGTTTGTTGTCTCCCTCCGCTACGCGTCGGGAGACAACACAACCTGGAGCTAAAATCTACTACTTTTTTCCCTTGTATAATAAATAACTATTTATCCACGAACGCATATATTTGAGAGAGTTCTGAAAATTGTGCTTCAAGTGGTCTATCTCTCGAGTCTCGATTCAAATCAATGTGTTACATGATCTAAGTTAACATACAGTATTTGACAGTTCACACTTCTGTCACATTGAATTTGTTCAAAGTTTCAATTGAGTAAGTTTGGAATATGAGGAAGTGTATGAGATCATTGGAGTTCAAAAATGAAATTGTTATTTGTTTTATAGTAGTGATGGAGACACTTATTAGGTGCTTTGGTAGCACAGATCTTATACGTATAATATCTCTACCAAGGAAGCAAGCTAGAGCCAATTTATTTTACCTCCCATGGGAGATAATATTTTTTTCCTCCCGTTGGAGTGAATTGACAGGTTTGTGTCCTCAAATGAGGGAGCAAAAGCTTACTTTCGATGCAGTGAATAGATAAACCATCCACGTGTATTTTGAAAAAGTTATAATTTTTTTTTTCGAAATTCCAAAGAAAGGGGGCCTGTGGGGTTAATTCTTGCCCGACAAAATATTGTGAGATATACACATTATTAAGTACTACCAGAGGAACACATTCATAGAGGAAAACTCCCATCCACGTGTATTTTGAAAGAGTTATGATTTTTTTTTCCAGAAATTCCGAAAAAGGGGGCCTGTGGGGTTAATTCTTGCCCGACAAAATATTGTGAGATATACATATCATTGAGTTCTATCAGAGGAACACATTCATAGAAAAAAACTCCCATCCACGTGTATTTTGAAAAAGTTATGATTTTTTTTCGTAATTCCAAAAAAGGGGGCCTGTGGGGTTGATTCTTGCCCGACAACATATTGGGAGATGTACACATTATCAAGTACTATCACAGGAACACATTCATAGGAAAAAATTCCCATCCACGTGTATTTTGAAAAAGTTATGATTTTTTCTCGAATTTACAAAATAAGGGAGTCTGTGGGGTTAATTCTTGCCCGACAAAATATTGTGAGATATACACATTATCAAGTACTATCAGAGGAACACATTCATAGAAGAAAACTCCCATCCACGTGTATTTTGAAAAAGTTATGATTTTTTTTCGAAATTCCAAAAAAGGGGGCCTGTGGGGTTAATTCTTGCCCGACAAAATTTTGTGAGATATACACATTATCAAGCACTATCAAAGGAACACATTCATAGGAAAAAACTCCCATCCACGTGTATTTTGAAAAAGTTATGATTTTTTTTCGAAATTCCGAAAAAGGGGGCCTGTGGGGTTAATTCTTGCCCGACAAAATTTTGTGAGATATACACATCATCAAGTACTATCAGAGGAACACATTCATTGAAAAAAACTCCCATCCACGTGTATTTTGAAAAAGTTATGATTTTTTTTCGAAATTCTGAAAAAGGTGGCCTGTGCGGTTAATTCTTACCCGACAAAATATTGTGAGATATACATATTATTGAGTACTATGAGATGAACACATTCATTGAAAAAAACTCCCATCCACGTGTATTTAGAAAAAGTTATGATTTTTTTTCGAAATTCTGAAAAAGGTGGCCTGTGCGGTTAATTCTTGCCCGACAAAATATTGTGAGATATACATATTATTGAGTACTATGAGAGGAACACATTCATAGATAAAAGCTCCCATCCACGTGTATTTAGAAAAAGTTATGAATTTTTTTTCGAAATTCTGAAAAAGGGGACCTGTGGGGTTAATTCTTGCCCGACAAACTATTGTGAGATATACAGATTATTATAGACCCTCAGAGGAATTCATTGATGTAAAATAGTTTCATCCATGGACATATTTTGGAGGTTTAAGTAATTTCATGGCCAGCCATGAATATAAATTAATAATGAACGACCATTGGTATGGCGCGCGCCTTGAATATTAGGCGAAGTCGTGACTGGTTTCACACTGATAGATAAATTAGCCAGTTCCTGGAATTATGCCATCAGGACAGTTTCATTCACGGTATTCACTCTGTTTTCATCTTTCCATTTCAAAAAATGGCCAAACTCCTTCTCGTATAAGTATTTGGATTTCACAGGCAGTAAATTTCCTAACGCTTTTTCAGCTTTGAGCGTCACATTCTGTAGGATCTTCATAATTATTATGAACACAACCGTTTTTAGTTTCCTCCATTAACAAGCTTGTCAATTCTTACAAAAATGCAGCGTCGTTTTATTACAATAACAACCCTTAGCAACCTCTTCAATGTTTCCACATCAACTTAATAGAAGATCACTTTTGCTCAGTTGCCGACCAGAACGCAGTAGATACTATGAGAAGAAAACAAAATAGACACATATGGATATACTTATTCCTTATTGTACCGGAGTGATAAAGTTTAAAACACGAAGATTGTTATGATCTTCCACCTTTTGCTGCCTTCACTTTTCACTTATACATTTTGAATTTGTCGGTATTAAAAACGCCATTCAATGCAATCAATTCCTCTTCCTTTCTCAATGATAATTTTGTTTTGCATCTCGTGTGATGATATATTGGATTTTTTTAATAGTCTGAACAACAGATTCTCTCAAACGGATCTTAAAATCTTCTGTTTGAAAATGGGCCTGAAATATAGTTTCATTTCAATCTGCTCTTATAAGAAGTGAATTGTACTCACCACACAAATTCTGCTTGTCTTCAAATTATTTCAGCTACCAGGCCGTTCCATACATTCCTTCTATAAGGGAATGGTTGATATTTCCATTGAAACCTTTATGTAATGAAATCAATTCTTTTCAGAATTCCGAGAATTCATTACACAACAGGACATTTCCATCTATGCTTGTTTCTTAATACTTTATGAAATGACATTTCAATTCTGACGTTCATAAAATGTATTGTCAAATTAAAATAATTTTGAATGAAAAAGCGCGGAACGACTATGGTGCTCTGGTCACAATGCAAGGTGTGTTACTTAAGAAATCTAAACATTCAAGAACACGAACAGTTGTAATTTCTGTGTCCCAACTCTTATCTAACTAATACCATCCAGTGACTCTACCCCTGGAGGGTTATATCATCCATATTGCTGGCAAAATGTTGGTAAATACATTGAAACGTTGATGTGTCTCACGAATTTTTAGAAACATCATTCACTCTCCCGCTAGTGAATTTATCTCAGTTGAAGTATCCATCCTGTGCATGTATGTATGTACATACAGCTTGACCATTCTAGGTTGGCCCCTGAGATGCGGAAACGATAAACAGAGATGGTTAGTGTGCGACTGTATTGTTCTAACGTGGCCATGTACTCACGGCGTCGAGTGAGGGTAGCCTCAGGTGATTCCAGGTATTTCTGGTTGAAAACTTGAGGTCACCACTCTTGTCATGGTAGCGGTAAGTGTGAATGGCCGCGAATGGACACCCATCAACCGGGACTGAAGGATTCCGGTCGACATGGGTAGCTGGGCTTGCTCAGGAAAAACTGAAACTTTGGTGTACCTTATGCCTTAGTTCATCAGGGAGGGGGTAGCCCCAAGCGATCCTATCGCCAGCCATCATAGGTAAAGCCGGTTCCTCTCCTGTAAACGCGGTAGAGGAACGTGTAAAAGTCCTCGAACGATCACTCATTCAACGGGACGAGAGGTTGCTTGTCAAGATGAGTAGCAATCAGGCCAAAGCCTCTTGCGATGGCGACCCATCGAACGTAACAAGAGGAATCTTGTTGACATGGGTACCATCATCATCATCATCATCAAAATACTTTATTGTCTGAAGATAGATACATCTTATTGACAAAGTCTGGAATCCTAAGTTTAAATTTAAAAGTTGATAGTTCCAATATACACACAAATGTTGATGTGGTGATAAGGATAGCCCCTTCAGGTCGTCTATACGACCTGATGCCCCACCAATTGGGTTGGACCACAGGGGGCAGAGGTTTCCAAAAACACCACCGGACTACGGTAAAGAAGAATCCCACTATGGGTCAAGTGGAAGGAAATCTTGCCTGCCTCGACGGGTGAGCAGCGTTTCTGCTCGGGCACTAACACTGCAGAGCCAGTAGTCTGTTTTATCAGACGGCCTCACCATTGGTATAATAAAATTGTAGCAGGAGAACATGCTGTTACATAACGGAGATGGCTCTAGCGCGCTAGTTCGCGTATCCATATCTTCCATTTCTCCCTGGGGTGTGCTGTCGGTATAAGTCGAGAGACAGGTGACCAGCAGTCACTAGGGAAGTCTTGTGAAATGGGGGTGGGATGTGGGGGACGTGTGTACAGGAACAAGTAGATAGGTATAATACCAAAGCAATGGTCTCTTCAATTGAATATCTTTTATTTTTTACGAAATATTCGATGACATTTCCTTTTAAAATATTCAGATTATTCTAGACAATGTCAAAATCAATTATTCAAATAAAAATCTATCTTGACAACCTAAAACTTCTAGATCCTCCTGATTGCTAGTACAGGGTGATGCAAAACTAACACGAACAAAACCGAAGCAAACCTCTACATGGGACTTGGTCTCACCCGTTGCTACCTCGGCAACATTATTGATGATGATGATGTACTGTTCTAACCGAAGTTCCCTGAACCAATTCCTCGACAATAATAAACTCTCGCCCCACTCCGCCGACTGGTCTACTGCGCATCCAATTCTCAAGAGGCCAAGCTACAATGGTCAAGCTGTAAACGTTGTTATTCCAGGTCCACCGAATCCCGACAACGTGCCCGAAGACGGCAAACTGAAGTCCGAGATGATGATCAAGGACAACCGTCGCTACTATCTCGATCTGAAGGAGAACTCGCGAGGGCGTTTTCTGCGCGTGTCGCAGACGATAACACGCGGCGGGCCGCGCAGCCAGGTGGCCATTCCCGCGCAGGGCATGATCGAGTTCAGGGACGCGCTGACTGATCTGTTGGACGAGTTCAGCACCGACGAGCACGCTTACAAGCCGGACCTGCCCGAGGGCCGGCACATGCACGTCGACAACAAGAACTTCTATTTCGATATAGGTGAGAACCTCTTACTGTATACGCCAACAATTCTGAACGCCACTATTTCGATATAGGTGAGAACCTCTTACTGTATACGCCAACAATTCTGAACGCCAAACACGGTGAAATGGATTAAATCGCGAATGGTGGGGATTGATATAAACGGTGTAACATGAAAATTTACCTTTATCCAAACTCAATTATCAGAATGGTACAGTTTCCTCTTTTTATGCTCAGACTTGAGTCAAGTATCATCCAAAGTAAACAGCTAAGCATTTAGTTCACATTTTATTACAGGAACGTACAAGAAGTGAATAACATTACATGACAATTTTGGGTTTTTCATCCTGTTCTTGTGCCTGTTGGGTCGGTTGGCTCACTGCTTATGTTTTTGGGAATATTGATGCCTACAATTGAATTAAACATGTAGGTTTTTACACAAAGTCATAGTGATAACTTACCTGAAGTCAGTCCCTGTAGTCTTCAAACTGATGTGATCATCTCCAAGCAATCCTTGAACTCCAGGAACAATCTGAAAAGAAAAACAAAAGATTAGGTGAAATCATAAAGAAAGTATTTGAGCTTCAACAAGCATTGTACTTACCAAGTGAGTCTTACAGGTGTTAGGACTTTCTTTATTCTTCCCCAAATTCGTTTCTTTGGAAAGTTATTTTCAAAATTCGAATTTGTTTATTTATTTTCATTGGCTGTCAGCATGTTGAATTACAATTTGTCCAATGTCAAATATCAAATTGTTTCATGTCAATGTCATAGGTCACAAGTCACGTCAGATTTGTTTCTTCGTTTCATTTTAGGGTTGTTCGTTTGCACTTAAGAATCAGTCTTAAAGTCAGGTCGAAGTGAATACTAAGTGGAAAGTCATGTCATTAAAAAGGCGTGTGTCATATGTCAAGTGTCACCAAACCACGTGGGGTAAACCCAATTTTCTCATTGGCTAGAGTTCTAAAGCTTCGGTAGCCTGTGATTGGTTTAAAACTCAACTCGGTGCCCACGCATGAGCAGCGTCGTTGCGCAGAAGGCATAGTTGGCGTTGTTTGTTTTTTTGAATAGGTTTCCCTATGTTGCGATTTTGTTTTTTTGAAGAATAGCATCTTTCTGGAAGGGATTGTCCTTTTCCGTGTTGGCATGAGCGAGGCCATGATGGGAAAAGAAAAGTCTTTTTGGATTTTGCCTTGCGAGGTGATAAATCATCACTCAGCGTTTATTTCGTCGTGCGAAGCCGATTCCCCGTGGAAGGTGAGTTTTGAACCACTGGTATCATATTTTTGGCCTACAACAGGGTCGTTCTATATTAAAGATCTGCCGGCTTCCACGAGATCCACGAGTTTTCCGAGTAGGAGTAATTCGAGAAACTCGCTACGAATTGTTCCCTGAACATGGCATAGGGATGTCAGTAAAGACCATCCGCTGCCGTAAGATTGACCACTGCTTAGAAACTGGATTCTGCCTGCCGATTTTCGACTGCTTTACCACGGACCACCTGCTGACTTTCGGCTCGGTCTCGGATTTTCTCATCAGCTCCGAGGTGTCCCCTGATTCCGAGAGGCTCCTCGAGTTAGATTCTTCCTTTGGAGTGAAGCATCGTCCCAGTGAAGGTGCTCCTGATACGAGGTCCAGGCGTCCCCTGAGGATGTTAAAGTTGCACTGTCCTGGTGACACCATCCAGGGTGTTTTGATGTAGGAGGTTCCTGGAGTTCAGAGGAGATGATTCTGGGTGTCGATGATCCAAGTCCCGGTGAGCTCGATCCAATTTAAACTTTTATTTGGGGTTATGTGATTTAATTTCACCAATTTTCTTGCCTGTCACAGAATTTATTATAATCATATTATTTTCATTTAGGTGTGAAGTAAGTTTATGATCAGACATATAATTTTACTCTCTTGTCAAAGTTAGTCCTTTTGAAGGCTTTATATAAGGTTTAGGCTCAAGGTATATAATTCACAACAGAGTTGTAATACACAATGGTACTTGTCAACCCTATGCAGCTGCACGCGGTAACCATTGTGTCTCACTAAGCATTTGATTTAGTTGATGCCTATGCAAGGACATATAAGATCATCCCTCTATTGGAATTTACCATCTTTGAAAAGTATGAAAACCATCACATACATTTGGGTACTATCATGAGTGAATAAATTATATTTTGACTAAACTTCACACTGTTTTAATTTCTTATTTTTATATACATCAAATTTAAGTGGCGCCCATTTCAAAAATGAAAAGACTGCTTAATAGCCTACAAGCAACCCACGTCCCAGCTCTCCAGACATATTGACTGCCGTCCCTTGTCAAAACCCATTTTGCAAATCTTTGCAATCATCTTCAATGAAGTAATAATAAAATGCAAAAGGTGGTGACAACGGAGCAATTTATTCCCAGTTGAATACCTAAAATGATCTTATTTTAATTATTATGTTATATTGACATAACTCGTTGATTAGTTGTTTTTTATTGTTATATACAAATATATAATATTATTTTTCAATAACTTTTAGTTGAAGGGAAGATCGGATGTACTCCAATAATTATAGATTAGTATAAATTCAAAATGAATTGTGACTATTCGGGGAACGATCAAACGTCATGAAATTGATATGAAAATGATTAGAAAGCTTCAATCCCGGTCACTGATGCGACTTACCAGGCTCAGCGATCCTGTAGGTTGATGGCGCTTGTAGATATAGGCTCTTGTAGGGAGGCCCTTCCAGATGTGCCCAACTGCTGATCTTAAATCTTAGAAATAAGAGGTCTGAAGGGCGTAACACTTCACAAACTTGAAATGTATGCATGTATGGTGTTTCTTTGGAGCATCTGTTTCACTTTACTATAATTTTATTGCGGAAGTTCATAGGCTACTGTCCTTTTCTCAGACAATACAGGTAACTTTGCCGGTCACTCACGTGACCTATATCCAAGAAGTGGTATATCAACGCGTCAGTGACATTGTTTAAGAATGATAATCTTTATACAGTATGAGCGTTTGATCACTATTATAATTTGACGAAATGACTGAAGTTCATGAAAAATATACAAAAACGAAATATTGAATGTTTATAACATTATTTATAATGATATATTCATTGAATATGTTCGATGCCCAACACATATATTTATATATCCCTATTATAAGCAAATATGTTTCTTGGGGTAATAAAGAACAACACTATTCTTACAACAAGAATTCCTATTTCAAAGTGGGTTAAGGCGATGAAACACAACTGATAAAAAAGATTTGAGTCTTTATAAATTGAAAAACAGTAGATTGAAGGAACTGTTTCCAGGATTTACATTTGATCAAAATATTCACTGTAAACATTTGATTGATTTGATCATGATTGAAAATACATGTGATAGATACACTATTCATCAAGAAACACACATGTGCTCAAGACAGTTTTTGGTTATTTATACATTTTGGATTTTTCTTCGGTTGCCAAGGTCTGAAACTCAGACTAAGTAACAATGGATAGACACCGTGAGATATTCATAGATCAATAAAAAGTATACGCCAACAATCCTAAACGCCAAACACGATTGAATAAATGATTTCACCGATGGTGGGGATAATTCTGCGAAATTATTGCCAGAGACTCGAATTTATTTGTTGTAGATATCTATCTAATAAATTGGGATATCCATAACTTGCACGTGTTGTAACATAATAATAAGTCCGGACAACCACCGCTACTATCTCGATATGAAGGCGATAATGCACGGCGAGCCTACTAGCATAAACTACTATCTAGACCGCTAATGCCATAAGAAGGAAGCTCAAGTTATTCATGAGATCGAACTGGAGAAGATGAATCCTGTGCTTTTAGGACCCTTCATATATTTTATTCACTAATACTCATATTCCCAACCACCAAGAAATATGACTTGATGTCATGATCAACAGTTTGGGGGTTTCTGCGCATTGAGCAGAAGCGTTTTATAATAATAATATTATATTTATTTCATTCTTTGCTATAAACATTACATTGCATCTCATATAAATATAAATATATTTATTTACATTTACATTGAAACAACATGAATAATCAGACAGATTCATATCTGGTATGAGATTATTCATGCGTTTTTAAATTGAATTATAGTTATTGAAGTAAACAACAGATTCAAAAATAACAATAATAAAACAAAAAGCTCATGAAAAGTACATTATGACATGATGAAATAAATCAGCGAATGAGAAATCATTCACTCAGGTTTGATTTTCTGTTTGCAAGAGGATATGTTTCTTGACTTTAATTTTGAATTGGGTTATATTTATGCAACTTTTGATATCATCAGGTAATTTATTGAATTTTGAGATAGCTGCGTGTGTGAACTTTTTTTGGCCAAGTGTAGAATTAGCAGCATCAAGATGAAACAAGTCATATTGTCTAGTATGATGTTCATGGATTTGAGAATTCCTTACCAATATGAAGTTGAATTAGGTGTATGTTGATAATGTCAAAAGAAATTGTTAGAGTATTTAACAGATAGTGCTCTTCCAGAGAAAATGTGTTTGTTTCTTCATAAAGTTGATTTGATGGGCTGTCATATGGAAGACGATACAGTTATTTTAATGCTTTTTTATATAGTACAGATATTTTGTTAAAATTATTCTTGGAACATGAATGTGAGAACAAATATAGCGCTAAATAACCCGATATACAGGAGCTTGGAAGTATTCAATGCACTGCCAGAAGCTATAAAAAAAATAGATATCTATTCATCATTTAAAGCCCTCATAGACCTCCATGTAAATCAGCAGGATTCCTGATTCTTGAATAGTTTTGAAATTTTTTGAAATGAGACTTTGATATATGTAACTGTTGTTTCTCTTTATTTAGTTGTAATTTATGTCCATATATTCTATCGAGGGCTTGACGAAATATCAGCAAAATAAAATATTAATATTTGGTCCAAGTTAGGTATGGTTGAAATATAATGAGATGATGAATAAGTGAATTGACATTTGGTCAACATTCCAGTGACATGAGTGCGCAAA